CATCGCTGGAGGCTCCAGCCTACGGATCCTCCCCCTTCGGTTACGCGATCACATATGGCCAAGGGAGCAGCGATGGCAACCGTTACCGATTACCACTCTACGACCTCCTCTCCAGATGGAACAAGGTAGAATACATCGGCCGTGAAAGACACGGCTCGATGAGTAACAACCGACATGAGGGACACAAGGGATTCCCCATTGGGGCCGTCGGCAACACCGGAAAGCTAGATTACGTCGAACGCCCCAACATCGTCCTCCTGCTCGCCGGCACCAACGATGTGGTCTTCAAAATCAATCTGAAAATTGCGCCAGAGGTGCTGGGCCGCGTCGTTGACGATATCGTCTCGGCCTGTCCAGATGCCGTCGTACTGGTTGCGACACTACCGCCGTTGCTGGATCGCAACCGCGAAGCACGGAGGGTCGCGTTCAATGCTGCACTGCCGGCTGTCATGGAGCAGCGGACGGAGGTTGGGAAACATGTGCTCCTTGTTGATTTGGCGACTGTGACTACGCGACACATCAACGCTACTGATGGTATTCATCCGATTGATGAGGGGTATAGATTGATTGCCGATGCTTGGTATAAGAGTATCGTCCATACTGATCAGAAGGGTTGGATCAAGGCTCCCATTGCAAAGCCCGCTAATGGTGAAGTTGATAGAGTAAAACCCACCATCGAAGCAAGGCCTATTATTGCTGGGAGGCCAATTGTTGCTGGGACCTCTGCTGGTTTCTGGTCTCCGTTTAGGATGCTTGCAGCGCTGGTTGTGGTGTCTGTTGGCTGTTTTGGGGCCTTCAGAGTGCGTTATGCTTTTCGGTGGAATAGGAGGAATTTCTGGTGATGGGCTTTGCATATCGAGTGTGTTTGGTTCTCTACAAATGCTCAATTTAGCTATGATCTACATTTAGAATCATACTGAAAACACATGAAAAAAAGTATCCAAAAATACTAAAAATGATATGATGAAACAAGTAATCTTATATAACTATAACCTCACACAATGTATGAAAAATTACCTGATTGATGTGCACATCCATTCACAGGTATATCTCAAAATATAACAAATGGAATATGTGAATTAACCGGGAATGTTTTACTAATACAACACTTAAGGACTAAGGAAGCAGGCCAAAGAGAAGAACAACCCAACTATACACAATGTGAATGCTTTATTGAAGAATTGTGTTGTAGCTAAGAACTTCAGCAGATTGTGGGCAAGTAGCTAAAGATCCCTTTCCTTGAGCTCCTCTGGAATTTGGAATTTGGGACCAGGAGGCTTTCTGACCAATAAATAATATGCATGGCAAATGTCCAGTACATGTGCATGTACACACATTCTCAAAAATATGCATTCTCAAAATCATCAGATAGGGTGGAGAGCACAGGCACGAATCTATACATGTCCAGTATATACATATAAAAAAAAGCAGGGTAGTTTAGTATTCATTATGAGATTGGAGGTGTCACAACACAGCAAGCTGCAAACAATTCCATACATAAAAGAAACCCTTGTCCCGGCCAATCCTCGCTGGTGATTCATAACAGCGATCAAAGCCTGCAGTGCGCGGCCTGTTTGGATGAAAACAAAATTTTCCCAGCAGCGAGGTATCCAACCCTTTTTGCCTGAAATTTGCTTGCTAACTCCCTAAAGGAGAAGGAAAAATCCCAAACGAAAAGACATGTTCATACATAGCTCTTCTTCCAAAAGGAGAGAAGAAACAAATCTTTTGACCATTAATAGAGAGTAAAATAAAATAAAAAAACTGATAAAGGAAGCATAGGCGAAAAAAGGTCAATAAAACTAAAAATGGCTAACGTCAAAATCAGATAGTACCGCCCAAAAAATATGAAGCTAAATCACAAATCTGCCACCGAAGCCAAAGATAAAGAATTCATGGTATAAAAAGAAAAGAAAAGAAACCCCCCCCCCAAAAAAAACAAGTATAAATAATCACGTATGGAGTATAGATGGGAATATGTATAACGAAAATAAAGGAACAAAAGAAGAAAAAGGAGAAAAACAATACAGTTGCCAAAAGCTCCACAAGGATGGCGGCAAGAGACGAGGTGATCGTGATGGCAGTCAAGTCATGTCCCCGTCAGCGGTCTAAAAGCTTGTGGTCGGAGTATCAAATATTTTTTGCCGAATCAGTGTCAGTATTTCAGCATCCTTACTAAGAGTTGGGGAAATATGCCGGCTTTGCAAGAGAAAATTGATCGTGCGGTTAAGGAGCGATCGGAGTGTTTCTCGATCTACGAGCTGCGACAGAGGTGACATGTAAGTTGCGGACAACACGAGCATATTTCCGAATTGACTGTTTTTCTCACAATTTGGTCAGGATATTCCAGAATGAGTCTATTGAAAAGTATAAAATGAATGTCAGTTAAAACTGTTTTGACTTACGCATGTGCCGTTCCAAAGATATTAGTGACAACCGGTCGTCCCTGGACGCCATCAAATGCTATCGTACTCTGTATTGCCGCGTCAATACACGCCTGGCAAGCCTTACGGACCTTCGAGTCAAGAGATTTGAGCGAAAGTTGTTGGTGATCAGGGAGCATCCCTGGTCTACTGGGAGGACCCATGTCATTTGGGAACCGTTCCATATTTTGTGAAAGATGAGCTGGGTGAGCAGACGGTGGTGAAGCCTGTGACTGTGAACTGGACATGTTGGAAGGGCTGCTTGGTGCGATGGAATTGGCAGCCCCTGGGAGGTATTTGGACATTGGATGCAGGGCATGGTGCAATAAGGGCCGATGGATAATGTAGCGGCACCCGTAGTACTTCCCGCGCATTCGTGCGATGATAATGTTGTTGGAAGGAGGGTCGGATTCCTCCCATCGCATATTATCTGGCAGTCCGGTTCTCCATGCTTCGAGGTTACAACTCAAGGCTTCTTGTACTTTGGTCGTCCAAGATACTTTTGGTCCCTTAGAATCAGGCGCTGTGGGGAAATTACAATATTAGACCGGACTATTCTTGTTCTGTAGTAAGACATAGGAAACATGAAGATTAAAATTAGAGTACATACACTCAGCTTTGTATAACTCTGTGTGGACGCGATTCAGGACCTTCCGTAAGTGAATTTGCGCAACATAGTAGATCATGGTAAGTGGGTCGGGAGTTTGCAGTTCATTTGTACTTATGAAGAGACCGGCGTGAGTGGAAAACCGATCTTCAAAGCGGCTTATCCCGCTAGCTGGAAGATCAAGTTCCGCGAGAATATCGCTATAAAGCATGTGAGCTTTAAAAAAAAAAAGGAAAAAGAAAAAGGGAATCAAGCAGCAGTATATGGCTATACCTTTCAAGTTGCAAACATGTCCAAAAGGCAAAATTGATTAGCTCCTTCTGGCGCGTTCCATTCGGAATACGATCAAATGTACGGCTAAACAGAAACAAGTCAGTCCAACGAACTCAATGTTTTTACAAATACGATAGCTTACGGTCGTAGAAGAATTTGGCAGGCTCTTGAAGCTTCACATATCCAAGCATGGCTGGAAAATGGGCGGGCGAGCTGGCCAGTATACAGGGCCGCGAGCAGACAAGCTTGTGTATGTTTCAGACCACCGCCGCCCAGCACATCACCAAGAATATCTGACGCCAAAGCAAAATATGCTAGGCCAGGAATAATATCCAAGTTCCGTTCAGATTGATCTTCTGAGTTCCAGACATCTCCGGAATGTGCTGCACCAGAAAACCCCCGGTGGTGTCCGGCTGAACGTGGAAAAAACTCTTCATTTGGAGAATGGAACGATGACAAACTACCGGAATCAGGTAGGGTCGGGGAGGTCGACATAATCCGTTTGTTTCCGCTTTTTCGGTTCAATGGTCCCGGTATATCAGTTTTAACTGCACATATCGAGCCTAAAGCGTG